TGGCTGGGCATCGGTCGGTGGGTGGTGAGCAATTGCACTGTGCATCACTTGCTTTGTGTAGTAGTAGTATTATTATTATATTATTATTATTATCATTTTATTTCAATTATTAAACTCTTTATATCTCAACCCACAAGTTTTTCTCACTCTTACTCTTCCAATTCTTTCCCCTCCCACCGGGTGGGGGGGAGTGAGCGAGCGGCTGGGGGGGGGCCCCGTGGCCGCCGAGGCTGAACATGAAAATTTGCCGACTGAGGTTAAACCATGACAAGTAGTTGGAAGCTGAAATGAGATAAATTTGCAGCAAAGACGGAAATTTGGAGAAGTGAGGCTGATTAACCATCATGGTGGGAGGTTTCAAACAACTGATGTGTTCTCTGTGGAGCCTTAGTATACAGATTGACTGTTTGTTTTCAGATGTTTAGGAGTTAATCCTGGGAAAGCAATATCTTATATCTACACCAGCAATTGATTTGGAACAGCAGTACAGTTTTGATGTGGTTCCCTCATGGTTTCTGCAGACTGTGTGTTGGTTTAGTTCAGAGCAGTGAACCCATCTGTTTTCAGAGGAAATGGAAATGTTCTGCTTCAAATGCAGTACAACACTTGATAAAACCACGAGCTTGCAAAGCAATGTGGGAACAACTTCAAACTTTTAGCATGTACCTTATGCACGTGTGTCAATAAAAAGCTTGTGAACTTACCAAGAGTACCCATGATACCCTGAAGCAGTGAATGCTACAAACAGGGGCATATGCACCTGTGTTTCACTCTTGGGCTCTTTCCTAATCTGTCTGCAGTGCTAGTTGGAAACTCCTTCCTTCTTTTGCTTGCTTTAGCTTCATCAAACCCTTTGTAGTATGCCATGTGTCTCTTATTACTCCTTTAAATCTCCATTCAACTACTTCCTTCTAATGTTGATGGCTAACCCTTCTGTGCATCAAAACACTTTTCTTCGCAGCAGCTGCGAAGCAGAGCAGTACCTATAACTCAGAAGGTGCAGGTGACAGAACATCAGCACCTAGTCCGTTGCATGAGGCTTTTTATCTGGCAGTCAGGCAACCAAGCACACCTCATGCCACCTCTGCTCTCTACACAGGACAGACATGAAGAGAGCATGGGCATTGTCCATATCTGGATATGGTCTTGTGACCGAGGGATGTGGGTTAGTCAGTGTCTCTCCTAATATCTATAGGCATCTGGATGTTTCAAATGATCTTGTGCCTTCTTGGAAAGACTAACCATGCGATCTGAGATGAGGGACTGGTTCACCTGAAGTGTCTACCAGGCATTTTCAGTGCAGCTGTAGAAGCTGGCCTTTTGCTGTTTCTATACAGCTTCTTGCACTGCATATTCTTGAAACCTGGAGTGGGGAGGTGAGCCAGACAACAGTTACCGTACTGTCACTCTGAAATAGCCTGCGGAACAAGAGTAGGTCTTTTTGTGTGAGATTCTATATGGGCGAGGGTGAAGAGGGCACTGGTGCAACAAGGCGCACATACTCTTCTGTTGCACTAGGTTGTTTGGCAATATAGACCTAGTTACTGTCCTTCTTATACAAGTATTCTCCTAGTATGAACCCAGTCCTTAATCTCCAGGTTTATTCTGATGAAAGAAAAAAGCCTCTTGAGTTTAATAGTCTTGTGAGGTCATCTATAGTATGTGGTGCATCCTATGGATCTGAGAATCCACTGGAGCATGCTGTGGCTCCCTTCCTGTTTACATATCCGCTGTTTGCCTTAGGTGGAAGCCAAGTCACGCAGATCGTGGTGCATACCCAGTGTGCAGTCCTAGGGTTCAGCCATGGTGAGAATCTGAGGGCGAGGACAGTGAAGTACAATGCCCACAGAGTATAGGCACAGGGAACGTGGTTATGCAGTACTTCTATGCAGGGGAAAGTGGATCTCCAAACTGAAGAGGGATGCTGTGAAAATAGCCTACATTCATTGGCTTGTTGTCCACGAAGAGAGATTTGAGTGTTTCCTTCTGACACGTGGTAGTTTTCAAATAGGAGGGGTAAAAAAATGCATGGAATCAAACTAATCTTCTAGACTAATTGGGCACTCTTAAAGCAAGCTCCAGTCTTTTTGCATTATCTGACAAGTTCTTAGTAGTTCATATACTAATTTACGAACAGATACTAACACAGAATACACAGGTAACATTATCCAAAATTACTGTGGCATTTCAGAGAAGTCAAAGGATCTCTCATTTCCTCTCCCAAGAAATAAACTTATTATTCTTCACAGAACTGAAACTGACTTTCAGTATAGATTTTTCCTCATGCTAATACTGAAGTAAATTAGCAGAAATATTGTTTACATTTAAGTACCATTAATCTGTGTGCTTGTTAAGAAATTTCCTTTCAAATTATTGTACGGATAGAGATAATGACTTGCTTATTTAGTTGCATGAATAACATCCCTTGTTTTTCAAGGTTTCTCAATCTTCTCCGGCAATTAGCAAATGGATACATAATTACTAACATGAAGAGAAGCAAACTATTTTTGTTGCTGGATGCAGTGGGAGTTCAATATTGTCTGTTCAGATAGACATCTGTTTTGAAGGAAAAAGTTAAAATGATCTGTTTTCCTAAAAGTAGAATTCAACAACGTTTGAATTATTGACCCTGTGTTTTCAAATGTTGTCATTATATGAATTGGTCTGTAAACTCCTCATTACGTTGATCTAATCTATCTCATGATGGTGTAATTACATTGGATATATAGTTGAAAGGATTATGATAAAATTTTACTACAAAAGACACTTTGCGTATGGCATCTACAGACCTTGATTGCTAATGGAAACTTACTGCACTGTGCTGTATGAACGAAAGGTTAAGAAACATGCTTGTTCACATGACCAAATTCTGCTACTAGTCTTGTAATGTCAGCAGATCGTAACAAGCTAATCAAACAACATTTTTGATTTATATAGGTAAATATGGAAAGAGCTTTCACGCAGAAACCTCAATTTCTCTGCAGAGCAGTCATTTCCTCCTAATCCACGTGGAAGCAGACAGCTAGGACCTTTAGGTAAACGCAGCCCACAAGGGATTGAGAGAAGAAAGCTGCCTATCTAACAGCTTGTTTGAGAGGCAAGGTCCACCTACATCTGTAGCTTCACTTCAAAATATAGCTTATCTTGGTAAAGTATACTCTGACAACCTGCTGGTCTTGTCACATGGCCTTATGCAGCTGGATATTCACTTAGTCTCTTTGCTGATGGTCATACTACTGGATTTCTCTGTATTGAAAGAGAACCATCTGAAAGACTCAAGTTATGGGCGCAAAAAGGCAAAGCTGTCTTTATCTGGAGTGTGAAGTGACTTTGTTCTAGAAGCACTTCACTAGCATTTACTTGGTAATTTAAATAAAACTCAGTGGCTTTGGAGGAGGATTCAAAGCAATATAATAGATCTACCATCAGACCCCAAATGTTGTCTACTCCTAGCAACAAGAAATGCTGCCTTCAGAGGAAGATAGCATAGGTAACATAGCCAGAGACTCAAAATGGAAGGGTGAAAATACTGAATTTCAGTCCTGAATTCCTTTTGATTTATCCCGTGCAATTATGGCAACAAGACGTAAGGGTGCAGGATGCTACAATAATCTCAGTTTCTATGAAAACCTGGTATAAGTGGTTAAGCCATCTTGCCAAATGACACAAGAGAACAGTAAACAGTGTACAATTCCTTCGCAATTTTATTATTCCTTTTATTGCAAAGAAGTCTGCTATGGAAATGCTGGTGTATTGTCAGTATAAAAAAAAAAGGGGGGGATGACAACACCAAGATGTGTCCTTTTGACAGGAATGAGAATGGCTGATTCTTTCACTGTTTAAAATTTTTATGTATTTGTTTTTCTATGTGGAAGTTAGGGAAATACACAATTACATCTGTATATATGCACATGCATACTTTTATATAAGTCTAGCAACATAAGAATAAACTTTATACTTACAGTACTACTCTTATCTAGAGACCTATTGATTACTGCAAGCTCTGCTGACTGAAGAGCTCAGTGTGGGATTGGGATTATCCAGGATGTCACCAGACTTGCGTATACAGTGTACATTATTACTGCTTTGAGACAATATGCCTAATATGTGATATATGACAGTAGCTTCTTTTCTGATCGAGCACTTCAGCTCAGTGTATTAAAGATACTATTTTAAATATTTCTTTTCAGGTTTTATAGGGTGGTTGATGGGCATGGCAATCAATATTCATTCTGATCACATTCTCAGAAATCTGAGAAAACCAGGGGAAACTGGTTACAAGATACCAAGAGGTGAGTAAAAATGTTACAGAAATTTATATAGCAAAAGAAGCATCTCTCATATGAGGAGGGGCTGGGAGAGCCAGGACTTCAGCCTGGAGGTGAGTAAAAATGTTACAGAAATTTATATAGCAAAAGAAGCATCTCTCATATGAGGAGGGGCTGGGAGAGCCAGGACTGTTCAGCCTGGAGAAGAGAAGGCTCAGGGGGATCTTACCAATGTATATAAATACCTGATGGGAGGGAACAAAGGAGAGGGAACCAGGCTCTTCTTAGTGGTGCCCAGTGGCAGAACCAGAGGCACTGGGCACAAATTGAAACACATGAAATTCCATCTGAACACATTTTTTTTTGCTGTGAGAGTGGTCAAACGCTGGAACAGGTTGCTCAGAAAGGCTGTGGAGTCTCCATCTGTAGAGATACTCAAAACCTGACTGGACATGGTCCTGGGCAGCCTGCTCTAGCTGACTCTGCTTTAGCTGGGGGCAGTTGGACTAGATGACCTCAAGAGGTTCCTTCCAACCTAAAATGATTCTGTGTAAAGACGACCTTCTAAAGCTTGGTGCATTTTAGGGGAAATAGTCATTTATGGTAGAGAGGAAGCTGGAAATAGCAGTCTGTTGTCTACCTTAAGAAGATATTTCATCGTGTGGGAAACATTTTATTTTTTTTCCTCTCAAGCCAAGTATTCTGCAGGATCTATTTCATGATATCATGTGGTTTGTGTGAGTCTTTGAATTTCTTGACCAACTTTGACTGTATTTTTAAAAAGGGGTAAAAATGTAACATAGCATTCCACAACTTCTATGAGAATCTGCAGATGGGTGGAGAAAGAAGACTTAAATTATTATCCCAGTAGGGGAGGCAGGCAGAAAGTACTCAGCTACTTATGCAACTGTGTGTGGCTGGCCCATCTTATGTTGTCCCATGTATGAAGAGGGAGGGATCTTAGGTAATCGGAGAGCAACAACTACTGCGGTAATGGAGATACTGGGAAGAGAGGACAGAAATCCAGAGGAAGTTAGGCATAAAAGTTCTGGCCTTCATGGGAAAATGGAGAAAATGAAAGTACTTCTTATGGAGCCTGTTGAAGTGTTAATGCTTATTGACACTTCAGGAAGCATTAGACTCTTCCAGGTATATTACACTCAGTGTGAGCAGAAAAATAATAGTTACCTCTGAATTCTGCTGTTTCTCTGAGTTTTTCCTTTAGTTGTTGCCCTCTCTTGGTTTTTAGTGAGATTTTTGTTAATAAAACAAAGAACTAGATATATAAGATGGTAGATTGTTATTTTTCACCAAGAGGATAACTTCATATCTTTAATAGATGTAAATCCAAGTGCCCATGTAAGAATGTGCTATGTTCAGTGTACAAAAAGTTCTGAAGGAAATAAGATGTTATTTGCTGCACAATCAGAAGGAGTTGGTCTTTTTGATATTGCTTATCCAATTTAAGTGCTAGATTTCTGCCTCTCTTTTGTCACAAAAGCAAAGTAATTAAAGCAAGGTCAAAACATGTCCTTTATTACACTTGGCAAATATGTTTGGTCTTACTTCACTGATGTGAAGCACATCCTGAGATGTCATCAATTTGTACACTAACTTTGGGATGAGGGTGAAAGTTCTTCTTTTATAAAACTCCCAGCAGGTGAGTACTGACTGTTTATGCATAATTGGCTGTAAAACACATGTAACGCAGACCGCCAATTACTTATTTCACTGAGTGTCAGAGCTGAAGTAGTAGACTTGATGGGGGACAGGAACAAAAGGGCAACATGCTTTGAACTAGAGGATAAATTTGGAACTTGAATTCATAATAATAATACTGTTCACAACTACCTTAATTTCTGAAGTACTTAAAGAAATTAAACATTGTATGCTAATTAACCCTAGGAGTATTTTCTCTGGCTCTTAAAGGGGAGCATATTTTCTATATTTACGTAATTTAAAAGAGGTTTAGTTTATGATCAAAGAGCCAGCTTGATATCATTGTTAAATAATTATTTACAGAGGCATGAAATCACTTCTGATACTGGTAAATCTGCTTTTCTTCCATGATTTAAAGAGGGAAAAATGGAGCTGGAGAAGGTCTGTCTTAGAATGAGGTCTGAAGTGATCCCTCATAGTACAGCTTGAACTGAAAAACATTGCTTCTACTGCCTTTAAAATTATATAAATAGACATTGGTGTTATAGCTCTTATTGGACTTACAGTAAAAGATAGCATTGGACATCTCCTTGATTAAGGTGCTTTTAACGTAACTCTGTCCTGCTTTTAGGAGGAATGTTTGAGTATGTCAGTGGAGCCAACTTCTTTGGAGAGATCCTGGAATGGTTTGGGTTTGCCCTTGCCTGCTGCACCATTGAAAGCCTTGCATTTGCGTTGTGTACACTTTTCATCTTGGGTTCAAGGGCAAAACAACACCACCAGTAAGTGTTTGTGTCTTATAATTTCTGTTGTCTCTATGCTACACTTCATTTCCATTTTACAAATTATGCCTCATCCCATAGGGATGTTGCAGAGCAAGTCTTGTGAAAGACTTTGCTACTGCAGTGGAGAATATGATAGAGAATACTCTTTGAGTAGTATTAAGCACTGCAGAATTTCAAGGGGATAGTACTGAGCATACGCACACACAATGTACAATGAGATGGTCAAAATAATGGCTTTTAAATGAACATAGTTCATCCTGGACTTGTAAAGATTATAGACACATTTGGGAAAATTCTTTACTTGATGATACACTATACTTTCCCTTCCAGCTCGAACTTGTTTCTATAATATTAAAATTTTGAAAATCACTCTAATGGCTTCTGTTACAGGCATCCTTTATAGTCAAGTCTATATCATATTGTCTACAATCAAGTGTATAGACAATATGAAAACAATTCTGGTAGATGATATTTAATAAAGTCTCTGCTCTGTAATTAACAGTGTGACTGCTAATGTACTGTATTCATAATGTGGCTTTCCTGCTAACAGAAGGATCATAGTTTGAGAAGACTTGTTTCTTGAAACAATTCCCTTTAAGAAATAGCACATTTAAAAGAATTTGAACACCTTAATCTTATTTTGGTTATTTTCAGCTTCCTGCTTTGGTTCTCATGCTGAAACTTAGTGGTGTAAGAGGAAATAAGCCTGAATTTATGGAGGAAATAGGCTGAAAAAAATGCCGTTGCTAACAGTGTCAGGGCAGCCATGGCTATGTCTAGTGGAGTCTTGAAAACGTCCAGAAATGGAGTTTTTCTTGTACCTTGTTTGTGGGTGTTCTAGTTCTGTATTACCCTCCCAGTGAACAAGTTTTTCCTACTATCCAACCTGAACCTTCCAAGCCTGTTGCCTGTGACCATCTCTCCTTGTTTTACCACCTTCTATTACTGAGCAGAGTCATAGAATAGCTTAGATGGGGAGGAGCATCTGAAGGATGTCCAATCCAGTCATCTGGTGTGACCTGCTCCAACCAGGGCTAACCTCAAGGCTATACCAGGTTGCCCAGGTCCTCATCCAGTTGAGTTCTGAGTGTCTCTGAGGGTGGAGGTTTCAGCATGTCTCTGGCAAAGCACTGGAACAGGATTTTTCTCATTCTCATGGGGAAGAGGGTTTTTTCCTTATGTCCAGTTGGAATTTTCCATGTTGCAACTTTTATCCCCTGCTACTTGTCCACTTGCTGTGCACCTCCAAGAAGGGTATGGCTCTGTCTTCTCTCTAATATCGCTGTAGGTAGTGGAAGACTGCAATTAGATGTTCTTCTTAACTTCTTTTCCAAGCTGAACAAGCCTAGTACCCTCAACCTTTCCTCTTATATCATATATTCCAGCTATGCAGTCATCTTAATGACCATCTGCTGGATTCTTCTCCAGTTTGTGGACATCTCTGTTGCACTGTGTCCTGGTTTCAGCTGGGATAGAGTTAATTTTACCTAAGTACAGTAATAGCTTCAGTACAAAGCTCAAATACCAGATTAAGCTCAAGGCCAGTGTTTTAATAAATCTCCCAGGCAAAACATCACTAATCACTGCAGAGCACAGCAAACTGCAAAATCCAACACCAAACTTAACATGTATAGCAAAAAAAGAGCATGATGCAGATCAGATAAACTAATATTGAGAACAGATGAATCAATATTGTAACCTGCAACTGTTAACAGATATAAATTCCTTAATGTGCTCTGGTTAATCTGTTATTATCACAAACCCTTCTTGCCCCATGTTGGATGCCAAAAAAGGACTGTCATGGCTTAACCTCAGCTGGCAACTGAGCACCACACAGCTGCTTGCTCACTGCCCCCGCCCCGGTGAGTGGGGGAGAGAATCGGAAGAGTAAAAGTGAGAAAACTGGCGGGTTAAGGTAAGAACAGTTTAATATTTGAAATGAAATAAAATAAAATAAAATAGTAATTATGCAATTGCTCACCACCCGCCGACCGATGCCCAGCCAGTCCCCGAGCAGCGGCCCCCCTGGCCAGC